TGTCTTTTAAGATTTTGAATAGCTCAGCTGGAATACTGTCACCTCCACTAGCTTTGTTGTTGCTCAGACTTCCTAAGGCCCATTTGACTTCACATTCTAGGATGTCTGGTTCAAGGTCAGTGACCACTGCATCGTGGTTATCAGGGAAGTTAAGCTCTTTCTTGTATAGTTCTTCTGTGTAATCTTGCCACCTCTTCTTAATCTCTTCTGCCTCTGTCAGGTCCCTGCCATTTTGGTCCTTTATCATGCCCATCTTTGCATGAAACGTTCCCTTCATATCTCCAATTTTCTTGAAGAGATCTCTGGTCCTCCCTATTCTATTGTTTTCTTCTATTTCTTTGCACTGTTCATTTAAGAAGGCATTCTGATCTCTTCTAGCTATTCTTTGGAATTCTGCATTCAATTGTTTGTATCTTCCCTTCTTTCCTCAGCTATTTGTAAAGCTTCCTCAGCCATTTTGCTTTCTTGCATTTCTTTTTCTTTGGGATGGTTTTAGTTGCTGCCTCTTGTACAATGTTGCGAACCTCCATCCATAGTTCTTCAGGCACTCTGTCTATCAGATCTAATTCCTTAAATCTATTTGTCACCTCTACTGCATATTCATCAGGAATATGATTCAGGTCATACCTGAATGGCCTAGTGCTTTCCCTGACTTTCTTCAATTTAAACCTAAATTTTGCAATGGGAAGCTCAGAATCTGAGCCACAGTCAGCTCCTGGTCTAGTTTTACTGACTGTATAGAGCTTCTCCATCTTTGGCTGCAGTTCACTGATTTCTAAGATGTCAATGTTCAGTCTTGTCATCTCTTGTTTGACCACATCCAGCTTGCCTTGATTCATGGATCTTACATTCCAGGTTCCTGTGGAGTATAGATCTTTGCAGCATTGGACTTTCCTTTCACCTCCAGATACATCTGCAACTGAGCGTCCTCTCGGCTTTGACCCAGTCACTTCATTCTTTCTGGCGCTACTAGTACTAGCCCTCCGCTCTTCCCCAGTAGCATATTGGACACCTTCCGACCTGAAGGGCTCATCTTCCGGTGTCATATCTTTTTGCCTTTTGGTACTGTCCATGGGGTTTTCATGGCAAAGATACTGGACTGGGTTGCCATTTTCTTCTCCAGTGGATCACGTTTTGTCAGAGCTCTCTGCTATGACCTGTCTGTCTTGGGTGGCCCTGCACGGCATAGCTCATAGCTTCATTGAGCTATGCAAGCCCCTTCGCCACAACAAGACAGTGATCCATGAAGAGGGTAAAGGTACCTAGATTTTATTAATTGACCATTGGGTCTATGAGCAAAATATATTGGCTATGATGCTGTTTGTTTTGTTCTGCTTTTTGCTGTGGGTAAATGTGCCTAACCTACAAGGCGCGTTAGCTTGCAGGAAGCATGACAACAGACTGAGAATGTTAATATGGTAAGGCTCTGTTGTTTCATTCACATGAGCACACAAAGACATCCATACATGTGGGCATGAATAAGGAAAAATATTAGGATCTTTGTTGGAGGTGTAGTACAACACAAGGCAGATTATGCACAGTGTTAGAATTCAGTGGGGACATTAGCTCAAGAATATCAACACAGTTCTTTGGGAGAATGGGCATCAGCATGGCAACTAAGGTTCAGTGTAAGCAAGTGTGAGGTAAAGCTTGTTAAGGCAACACTGTCCTCCTCAACTTGCTGAAGATGTTACTGTAGGTTTCAACCACATGGACACATTTAAATTAATGACAATTAATGTATTCAATAATAATAGTCATCGTTGTCGTCATCATCATCCTGAATAGCACACCCTTAGGATACTCTTAGCATGCATGCCATTATTTAAGTTTCATGGTCTTGGCACTCTGGTTTTGATGGCTGGCTGGCCAGACACACACCCTTTTAGGTGCACAACTGAAATTTCCAGGGTGATGGAAAAGCAAGCACAATTCTGCATCAAATTATATTCTGATTCAGGCTGAATGTGAGAAGATGGCTCAAATGATCTTTATCCCCAGCCTGTTTGTTTAGTTCTTCTAAGTTGGATCCACATCATACCCAACTGCCCCCAAACACTTGCAGATGACATGCGGCAGAGATTCCAGAACAATCATCCTTTTGTGTTATATTTGACAGCACAGCAAAGGAAATGGCTTATTTCCAGTCACCATTCTGAGCAATTTTGTAATAAAAGCTCCGCTATCTCCATCTGTTTTCTAAGCCCGTTCTGGGAGTTCTTAAGGGAGGCTATTTCCAGCTATCATCTCACAGCATGGCTTTTATTTCAAGTCAAAATAATTAGGGCAAAACCAGAATTGCAAAGTAAAATCCTCTTCAAACCACAGCATTCTGTCCTACTGGCACAGGTTTATACGCTTGCTTCTGGGCCATGTTTAGTCACTTTAAAAAAACAACCACAAAAAACCATATTGTCATTTCTTTATTCCTGGCATATTTGGTACTTGATCAGAGTCATGCTTTGTGGGGGCTACTTTAATGTACATGCTTCTTTTTGTCCCAGCCTGTAATTCTCAGCGCTCTAAACTTCTGCCAGCACCAGCTTTGATCTTTCTAAAATTTCTCTGCTACTCCTCACTTCCAGTGTGCTCTCTTTCAAGTCACATCAGGAATGCATCAACAATATTGCAGTAGCAGTCATATCATCCCTGACCATCTGCATTTTGTCATTGCTCGTTCTTTCCGCCTTCAATGGCTTACAACTTTGTTTTTGAACGATGCATTTTCTAATATTATCTTACTAGTGCACAGACCTGGTTTTCCATGAGTGAGAACAGCCCTTAGTTTGATACAGCAAAGCCCTTAAGCCTTTACGCAGCTGCCTGGTTTGGAAATGCTGTGCCCATCCTGTGTAAGTGAAACCATGCCTATTGGCACCCTAGGCCACATGTTGCCCTCTAGGCTCCCGGCCTAGAGGTTAATCTACTCCATTTCCCGGAAAACAGCTATCCAATAAGCAAGCAGGGGGACTTCTAACTCTGTCTCTTGACCTTCTAATCCAGCTGGCTTCAAACTAGATAGACTGCAAAGCTGTTGAAGATGTTACTGCAGGCTTCAAAACATCAACATTCATCAATGCATGTAAAAAAAACAAACAAACAATCCCATGGTGTACAACCCTAGGTTCCCATAGAAAGCCTGCCACATTTCATTTTTCTACTTTTCATGGTCTTGGCACTATGATGTTGATGGACAGAACAGTCATTCCTTGTTCTTGTTGTTATAAATGTTGTAGACTCTGAGCTATAAGCACTGCTTGTAGAATGAGGGGACAGAATGCCTTCCAGTCTGGGTACTCCTGCAGGGGTGGGGATAACAACGGTCTGGAGCTATTGGCTGATCCTGGGTGATTTGCAGGACATTGGCCAGGGTTTCTGATTCCCAACAAAAGAACTCACTCCCTGCTCATTCATATTGCTGAAGCAAAGAAAGCTCTGGAAGGCTTTTTGTGTGGAACGACTGTGAGCTGTGTTCATGTCTGGTACTCAAAACGAATTCCTAGATTCAAATTCTCCAATCCCAAGTGTTAGGCCTTTGCAGCAGGTTCCAGTGGTTGGATCTTGCAGTTCTAGTGAAAAACAAAATACATCCTGCTAGCCTGAAGTCATCCCACCTCTACGCTAGCAGATCCATGGACTTTATTTGAGCAAGCTTAGAGTGCTCTTTCTACTCCCTAAGATATCATTAACATGCACATAATATGCACATGGTTACACACAACTTCTTGTGAGCTGTTGTTCACTTGCCACTACAAGACAGTCTCCTTGTGTTGTTGGCACCAACAAAATATACCAGTGCAGATCTATTCTTGTTATGGGGTAATACCTAAAGATAGATATGGATGCAATATGTGCGCAAATTTAGTCTTGTTGACATATCCTATGTCATTAATTTAAAATAGAATCATGATTAGAATAAGGCAACACTTAGCATTGTCTTGGATAATCATACTTTGTTAATTTTGTATTCACACAATGTGCGTGTCCACAAATCAGGGGATAGTTAGTTCCCCAGCTGAAAAAAGAGGATATTTATGAGTTATTGCAGATGGCTGACATGAGACTGTAAAAATGCAAATATACTTTGATAAGAATTTCCTGTCACTTCATTAGCAAGAGAAGAAATGAATACCATAGGGACTGGGGTAAGAAAGAATATGAATGAGTATATATATCCTATGCATATATATCCATCTTACTTGAACACAATCTTCTTGAGCTTGCTTTTTATCTCCTGTTTGGTGAAATATGTGTCAAGAGAGAATTCCAGAAAAGGAGTATTGCTGAACTGTATTGCTCCCACTCTGACCTGAAAGGATAAGATAAGGTCTATAAGGGTGATGTAATTTTATGCTGTTCTTACGAGGTCTAGGAAGTAGGAACCCTTAGTGTGTTTCATCAAAGGAAAAGGAAAAATAAGCCAGTTAAATCTTTCATCAGTCAGAATGTCCAGAGTTTCCTATATTTTTCTGCATCACTAAAACAGGCCAGCATTACATAAGTTTCCTGGAGTTTACATGACAAACATAAAAGAGGCTGCAAAAACAGGATTTTATCAGGTCCCTGATGCACTAGATATATTCTGCCTAATTCTGCCTAAAAATACTTTGGTGAAAAACAGTCTTCAAACATCTCTATACAAGTCTCCCATGCACAATCAAGGCCACTGTGAGAATCAACAGGACAAGCAATGCTGTCTCTGATCATACAAATTTATTGTATAGCACATCATATATTTGTAGAAGAGGAGGCAAACAACATCTCATTGTAGCTGTCTAAAAACAGGAGGCAGAGAGAACCTATAGGGTAGCCAGAACAACTGCAGGGGCTTCAGTAGCTTTCTGATAATGCTGTACTCTATTTTATAACCATTTTGTGATGAGTCAAGGCATTATTCCTAAATGGCAAGAGATGCTGTTGATCCCTAATGTCCATGGGGTAGAGTATGCACCATGAGCTTAATTTTAAAGGAAGCTCTCCATGGAATTTATTTAAAACATTTATATGCCGTCATCCACTATTGCGTTTCAGGACAGCTTACAAGATTGAAAGCAATAACCACAAAAACCATCAGTAAAACAATACAATAAAATGACCAAAACCAATACAAATGAACCCAATCAAAACAAAACAAAAGCAACTGTGAATCGCTAAAAATGCTAAGTTTTAAAATAACAATTACATAAAAAGGTTTTAAGCTGGTCCCAAAAAGAATATAGGCTCGGCAACAGGCAAACCTCACTGGGGAGTGTATTCCAAATCTGGGTGCCACTGCAGAGAAGCCCGTTTTAGATGTCCTTTTTACCTCCTTTAGGGAGGGTTCTCAGAGTTGAACCCTCCCAGTCAAGTTCAGAGCTATGGACAGCTCCTTCAAAGTTCAGACTGCAGCCCAGAGAGCACCAAAGACCAAAAGAAAGGAAGTACTTGTGGAAGTTCTAATAGGGTGCAAAAGTTTGGTGATTTATTATTAGGGCCATAGGCTAATTAAAGAAATCTTTGGCTGCATTCCTATACTCACTAGCCTTAAAGCAAATCCCACTAGACTCATTAGGACTCACTTCTGAATAGACATGCCTAACAGTGTACTGTTAGAGTACAATAACTATGCTCCTGGAAGTAAACTCCAATTGAATGAGAGGGAAGCAGACATGGATTAAAGGGTTAGTAAATTAAGAGTTATACTTACCTGGAGGTAAACCTAATTTATCTCAATGGGACTTTCTTCCAAGAATTGCATTATAGCTGTATGAGCTTTGTGCTGCAATTCAATACCATTACTTGGAAGTAACTTGGAGTGAACTCAGTGGACCTTACTTTTGCATAGATCTGTATCACTTGGTGCTATAAACTTGCAGAAATATGTGGCATCATTTTAAAGAACGAAAACATGCTTTTCTGTTTAGATTATTCCCGTGTGCCTTATTTACTATTTTAAATATTTATATAAAGTTTTGAAAAGCCAAAGAGCCTTCTTAAGGCAATTCTTAGAACATAATAAAATCATATACAAGATACAAAGTCAGTATAAAACTCATAAACTCATGAGTTGGTATAAATTCATATCTGAGTTTATACAAGCAATTATAATAGTCAGTAATATTTAAACAAACTTTTCAGCACAAGGCATGCACAGGATTACACCCTTAGTTAATTCATTCATTAACTATAAATACCCAGCTATACTTTGAAATATAGGTGCTGAGGATGGGAAACAGCAGAAGAACAGAACAACAAAACCGGGCGTTGGGGGGCAGTAAAAAGAAAAAAAAGATGCACATAAAATTCTGTGAAAAGAAAAAAAAACATTTTAAGTTGATCAGTTGGTTAGATTGATTTAAAATGTCATCCAATGTTACAGTCTTACTGTACATTAATAAGTAACCACAATATCTCTGTGGTTAAGTGAGCAGGATTTTCTGATTAGGCAGGCTCAAGCCATTAAACTTAAAAAAAAAAAAATCACTGCCTGCTTTTCTTCCCATTCCACTGAACAGCATTATGCTAGTTGTTAGCTGCAACTTTACAGATACACTTAAGTCCCACAGTGTGAATGTCTACCAGTCCCATGTCTACATGTGACCCACTGTATGGCACATACCAGTGTACTTACCTTTTCCGGGCTGATGTCCAAGGCGTCACAGAGTTTGATTGTGAAATATTTTGACCTTTCAAAATTTCCTTTGCCAATGCTGTAAGATCCATCTAACAGGAACAAGATATCAACTGGAGCAGAACAGTTCATCACTGGAAGAAGACAAGGGCATGGAAGTAATAGTAAGAAGCCACATTGCTCCATGTGGCGAGGAGGAGCGGTGGAGTACAGAATGAAGCAAGCATGCTGAAAACAAAGACTAATATTGGTAGCTGTTTATGGAAAAATAGGAAATAAAAGTCCAGAGAGGAATACAAAAAGTCCTATCTCCATGTATTAAAGAAAAGAACATTCTGTTCATTAAACGTTCTCCCTCTCTCATTGTTCTTAGATGCTAATATTCCCGGAATTTTACTATGGGAGGAGATGTTGAAAATTATCATCTTTCCATGTTGGTACAAATAAGGCTCTAAGCAGCTACTGAATATGACCCTAATATAGTTAGGGTCCATATAACCCTAAGGACGGAGTGCAGAAGCAAGATCTGAGGGCCAAATTTGTTCCAAGAAGCTTGCCCAGATGGTCATGCCACCTTCACTTGGTCCAGCTCCCTCTCCTCCAACATCTGATCCTTTTGAGGTTTCCATGGGGATGGGGCCCATTCCTCCCATAAAAGAGCCATCAAAGGCTGCACAATTAGATTCAGAGTCAGGTAGAGAGAAGGGGCCAGGATCTTTAACTGAAATGCCAAGGCCACTGGAGCCAGCTATATGCCACGCCAGGAAATCTCTGAGAATTTGACCATTTCAAAGTCTGTGAGCAAGTCTGGTGAGCATAGCAAAGAGGAGGAGGCTGGGTCTAACATCATAGATATGGTGTCAGAGAAAAAGGGCAGACTGGCTAAGAACTGTTGGATGCTCTAAGCCCTGAAACAGGACGATCCACCTGGAAAGCGTAGTTTGCTCTGCTCATTTTAGCAAGAAGGACAGGTATTCAGTTTGGAATCAACATCTTAGCATTTAGTTCCATTTCTCTAATAGACAGTATTCTAACTTTCCTTGTCTCTTTACTTATTGACTTCTGAAGTATTCTTCATGCGTACCTGAATGCTAGTCTAGATGGTTAGAAAACCTTGTTCTGGTCTGCTTGGAAGGGGCAGGAGGCAGCAGGACAGATCCCTGCTTGAGGATGGTTTCCTTCCCCATTCTAGCAGTCAGTCATGTTCATCCTAAAGTTTTAGCTGTGCTGTCATTACATGTTCTCAGTTAATATGCAACTTATGGTGACCCTATGAATGAATGCTCTCTCAAATGCCCTGTCCTTGGCAGCCCTGCTCAGCTCTTGCAAATTCAAGGCTGGGGCTTCCTTTATTGAATGACGTCATCTCAGATTTGGTCCTTCTTCCTCTGCCTCTTGTATAGAAATACAAACCTCAGGAAAACAGTGGGTTAAACCCCTCACATAGAGAAGTTCCTAAATCACCACCCTGAAGCTTCTTATATACATCTCCTAAGTAGAGATGTTATTATCTGCTTATGTTTTCTTTCTAGCTTTTAATTGCTAATACTTGTTTGTTTTTATGTTTGCTTTTCCCCACTTAAGAACAACTCCAGTGAACGGAAAGGCAGGACATTAATCTAACAATTTGTTCTAACCTATTCTAATTTAATCTAATTCATTCTATTGTTTAAGAACACTATATATGGCTTAAAGTAATTTTCTGAAGTGTTGTACTATTAAAAATTACAAACACAATGTAAAAACAATAAAATACGCTATTCAAGATATATATATCTTCAAAAATAGTTAGCAATACACTCACTCAACAAAAATTAACCTGTAAAACCCCAGAAAAACTGGATTTATTTGTTCCATTACAAACCATATATTTCATATAGCCTGAAGTGCCTGATCCTGCCTAATGTGGGAAGCTAAGCAGGTTCTGGCCTGGTTGAAATCTGGATGGGTGACTTAATGTTGGGAATCGACCAGATAGTTTTGGCTACGGGTGGTATACAAATGTAATTGATGTTGTTGTTGTTGATGATGATAGCCAGAACCTCCTCATACTCCTTCCCAATAGCTTGTAAGCAAAAATAAAAATGCTGGGATCCAGAATATTCCAAGTCTCTTGTAGTATGGTGCTTTAGACTGAGTGGACCAAGAATGGATGCCTGAGAAAGTTGTGCACATTATCCTGCTCCTTTATCAGGAAGTAGCTAGTCCAAACGAAAGAATCTTCAGGAAGTGACCTAAGGGGAAACCAGTATACTCTAGAGGTCAGTCTGCAGGGCTCATTCTCCCAAGAGTCCAGGTCCAGGTCAATGACACCATCCAGTCTAGAAGATCAAGGCAAAACACTGACTGAAATACCATTGTCTGAAGTAAAGAACGAAGTCCAGCTGGGCTAATTTATAGCTGGCTATAAATCAGCACAGCTGCTTAATTAGGTCATTAGGTTGCTTTTAAGGGAGGTCCCATGCTCTGTTTTATGTTTGAACTTCTGATGCTCACACTTGGTCCTCTGCCCTTCCAAGGTGAATTGTCTCCAACTCTGTATCTTGCCTCTGGGGAAGCCTAGGAAGGCCCAGGCTGTTCTTCCAAAGGAAGGCTGTCAAGTGCTGCATCAGCCTCCCTGCCTGGCTGGGGCCCACACGCTGGTTCTCTCCCTCAGATGGATCCTCATCCAGGTAGGCATGATGCATGCAGAGCTGCCCTAATAGGTGTTCCTTGTGAGCTGGAATGCCAATCACCTAGGATTCTATTTAGGAATTAGTCTGTACGTATTGGTTTCCCTATCCAGAGGCACACATCCACTGTGTAGATGGTGGGAGACACTGCATAGCCTTGGGGGAAGGGGCAGCATAAATAGGGCTATAGGAAATTTGCCACTAGCAAAAGATGTAGACCAGTTTTCTCCAGTTTGCTACCCTCTATGAGTTACGTTTTTAATAGGCAGAATGACTCATTTAAACTTTTATACAGCACACATGTTGTTGTGTATCCCACCTTTCTTAACCATTTGTTACCCATTCAAATTTTTTTGCAGTGTGTTCAACAGAAAATGAACAAATGCAACGGTTGCAGCGCTCAGAAAACTTTAAGTAGCTTGTACAGATGGGAACAAAAAAGTGCATTTTTAAAACAATGCACATATACAAAGGGTTTCTATACCTCAGTTTTCTCCCCCTCCTTTGCCTACTCCTCCAGAACAGCACATTATAATTCCTCTTGGCGTGGATTTCTGTCTAGTTAGTAGGATTTAAAGAGAGGCATTTCTCTCCTAATAACAGATTAAAAGAGATTGAACTTTGAAAGCATTCCACTGAAAGCCCTCGTGTTCAGTTATACAGTAACCTTGCTCATTTCTGTCCATTGATAGTCCATCCCATTCCTAATTCAGCTGCAGCTGGAGTACTGACATGTTTCAGTAATAATGGATATTACTACATTGGAAAATCCAGATGTGAGATTATTAACTCTATAGAAGAAGCCACAGCCTGAATTTACAAATGCTGAGCAGGGCTGTCAGGACAGGGCCTTTGGAGGGCCTTCATTAATATGGTCATCATAAGTCAGAGATGACTTGACAGCACATGTCTGTGAGACTGTAGAGCCAAAGAAGTCAAGGAATCCAGTTCATATGCTGCAGTGAAGAGAGAAACGTCAGAAGAAATATGGTTGAGGGGGCTAACACAAGATCCCCATCTTCACACACATCGACCTGTAATCTGGTCTTCTTGGCAGGTTTCTTTGAAATCTGCCCAAGGCATGAACCTCTCTGTATTGAACTTTGATTCTAGAATCCAAGCTAGAAACCGGGTAGCCTGCCCCACAGAAATGAGGAAGAGAATATTGTGGACCAGCCACAGGATGCAACTGAGGGTGGATGTTCTACAGAGCTCATTTTTCTTCTTTTATAGGAAATGCGTAATTCAATCTCTGTTCTGAACCACCCACCCAGAGCCACTCTCGAGACCAAACTCTGACTTTGTGATGATGTACACATGCCCATTCTGCAGCAAGACAAATCCACAGACTTCATAATACATGCAACATGCTTGGTATAACAATGTCTCAGCCATAAATATGGAACGAGCTTGGTGTACTGACATCTCATTCATGAGGAGACACCTGAATCCTTGCCATACACATAAGAGTGACCATGAGTTTTGGAAGACACTTAGAACCATATTGATAGAATCTATATACGTATAGCATCCAATGTAGGAGATTTAAGAGGTGGCAAAGGGGGAGTGGTAACTGAGAATCTGCAGGGAATCTGAAGAAATGAAAAGACTTACAATGGGCAGCAGCTGTAATTTTCTCAGTGGTTTCCTGATTGACATGCAGTTCTTGTATGCCCCATGATGCTAAGGCTGTAGGATCAAATTGTTATCATCTTAGTTATCACCAAATTGTTCATTTTCTTCTAAAAGAATCTCTTCAAAACATTACTTTCAGGTGACTATCAAAAAACACCAATTCACCCTGAGGAAGAGCCTACTTCAGGATACAAGAGACTTTTTAAAAGTAGTACTACAGCCCCCAGGAGAGTCCATAAAGAATAAGGGAAGTAAATAAAGGGAGCCAGAAAACAGAGAGCTAGAAAGGGACTTAAGGAAGAAGTAGAAACTGATGAATAAAGAAGTTAATGCAATTCACAGCTGAAAGATATTCCTTGTTAGACAATCTTCAAGTGCAGGGTAGCATGCTACAATGTCTGTTGAGTGGTGCTCATGGTAGGGTTCCGACTAGAAGTTGCTTGGACCAGTCAAATACTTCCCCCATTCCCAGCTGATCCACTGTCCTAATCCCCAGCTTGGTTGAGCATCAACAAGAATCTTATTTATCATGACCTATATAATACAGTAAATGACTCGGTCACACATCTGTAAAAAATGCCTATATTCAGATTTGTGCTCATGTGGACTGAGGCCTTATTTCTTGTCCTACAAACCTCACAAGAATTCCACTCACTGCTTGTGAAATGCTTAAATAAAACTTTACCTTGGGAAAACAGGAAAATGCTAATTGAATCAAATAACAGCATGAGGTTCATGATGACAGAACTGGAAGGGAAAAGAAAAACATTAGTCATTGTCCTCAAAAACTGAAGAATGTGTTCATTAATATTGATTTGGTTAACTGTAAATGTAATTTCACACATGACTCTGTTTACAGTTCTTTCTTATAAATCTGAGAGGAAAGCTAACAGTAACAGCTTGAGGATCTTGTTCACAAGGTGATGTGGACATTGTTGACAAAGTTATTCAGTTTTATACTGCTCATATTATGATTGTCGTAGTGACTATACTGAATTTTTCTTTGCTCCCCTATCTCAATCTCAATTCCATTACTGTTCCCTAGCCAAGCAATTGATTCCAAAACAATCATGCATCTTTTCCCCTCCCTCAACTCATCTTCTGGGCAGTGCATCCTAACCCCACCCCCCGCAATACATGCACACACACAAATTTGGAAATTTCAGACAAACTTGCAATGAATTGTATCATTGAAAAGTGAGGGCAGATACCCTGGTCCAGCAAAGTAGATCAAGATATTTGGAAAAAGGTCTCCATTACAGTCCTCCAACCACAGAAAAGAATATATGCACCAATGGTAAATATATATGTTTCTCTCTCTCTCTCTCTCTCACTCTCTCTCTCTCTCTCTCTCTGTGTGTGTGTGTGTGTGTGTTTGCTTTTAAGGTCAGGACTGTCAAAGAAAATAATACTGCTCTGTATGCTACACTGTACATTTGGCAGAGCCTTTCTTATTGTAGGTCACACATCACTACCTTTTATATTAATGAGCTACTTATAAAACTCTTTATACTGCTCTAAATAGCAGTGACATTTTGGATAAACATAGATCCAGCTTCTATCTAGCTGGCTAGTGCCCAAGTTTACTCTAGCAAAAACTTTCCATTTAGCTTGCACATGGAAACTGTGGTCTCGTGACCTATGCATCGGGCAACCTTGTCTCCTCAGTTAATCTTGATCTATCCATTTTGGGAGATATGCACTATTCCATATTCATCACTGATGTAGAAAACTTCATTTGCCAGTTCTCAGGTGTAGCCCCTTGCAGCAAGCTTTAGGCAATAGGTATACTAATGTTTATGGACTGGTATCACTTGCTAAAATTGGACCAGTTCTTTAAAAATGGTTGCAAAAATATAACCAAAATGATTAAAGAAAAAAGGATAAAATACACTAGAAAATTACAAATTTTTGGATTTGAAAAGGTCCATAAAGATAATTGCATATATATTATAGCCTTTATGTGTTAGCATATGAAGAACATAGTAACATTACTGAAAATAATTATACACTCAGAACATCAGTTTTCACTTAATTAAGGAAAATCTAAGTTCTATAAGCCCTTCCGAAATAGATAACAATTAAACACTCCATTGATTGGGCAAAATGGAGTACTCTAGTTCATCATTCCATTCTTGACTGAGACCATGTGTATTATATCTATTCAGCAATAATAGCTGTTTATACCCATGAACTATAGGGTGATGTAACTGCACAGCCTCAACTTCCAATAACAGCCAGTTCTGAAGCTGTAAAAGAAGCAGGATCAGTTTTCTGTATGATGTAGGTCTGTCCATGTAGGCAAAGTGACCTGGCTCATGAAGTACCCCTTAGACAGAAGGCCAACTGAGAACTCAGTAAAGGAGCTCAGTTATTTTGAGCATCTTGCAGAAAGGCTGGGATGCAGAATAAAAAGGAAGTATTTTCCCCAGTAGGACATTTTGGCAGGACAATCTCAGAGTTATAAGAATGGAACAAGCTGCTACAGTACTATATGAAAGTCAAGGATTGCTGGAAATTGGCCTTTAAACTTGTTTCAGAAGCCATTGGGAAGTCCTTGAACCTCATTCACTTATACCATGAATGAGCCCAGATGCTTGTTCTTTGCATTTATGGGCCAGTTGTTAGAAGAGTGCTCAATCTACCTCTCCAGCAGCCCACCCAGTAACAGAGTTTCCAGATTCCAGGCACAGCTTCAACTTCCACCATCCCTTACTTTAAAAGCTGAACACCAGACAATCACCTTATGACTGGATACCTAGTCTATTATGAGTAAGCTAGTTAATGTAACATAGGAAGCTGCATCATACTGAGTCAGACCATCTTGCCCAGTACTGTTGACACTGACTGGCAGCGGGTCTCCAGTGTTTCCAGCAGGATTCCTTCCTTGCCCTACAAAGAAAAGCTGGGCTTGAACCTGGGACCACCTGCATGCTGAGCATGTGCTCTACCATTAGGGATCTGTGAGGAATCCATTTGGGGATGGGATCATGTCGGATTCCCTGGGCTCAGCCCCCTGGACTCTGGTCTCAGTGCTCATGGCCAGGAGTCCAAGTTCCTAGCGAGCATGCTCAGCGTTTGCACAACAGTTGCCAGGAATTGAGCTGCATAAGTGGCATCCCTCTTCCATGTAATAAGTGGCAGTTTTTGTTCGTTCTGCATGTGACATGGAAGAAGGTTACCTCCATCCTGCAAGCAGCCACAGACTTCCTCTTGTCTCAGCTCGCTTTCTCAGACAGGGATGAACACAATGGAAAGTCTGCACAGAGTCTGGAGGGATAAATTCCACAGAGCTTTGTTGCAGCGCTATCTGCCACTGCATTATGGTTTCAATCCACGACTTAAAGCCCTGTCAGCCAGGTCACTTGGTGTCTAGCGGAACTAAGGACTTCTGCAATAGCTTTAATTTCCTCTTTCTTCACTCTGCTTTCTACTACATACACAGATTGTTTTGCCCACTTTCCAGGGAAAAACATAAATTGAAGTAACATTTATTTCGCAACCACTTGTATCAATAACATACTTGTATCAAAAGCATACCGCCTTTATACAAAACATTTCTACTACTGTGTACAGTTCTGGCTACTACACCTAAAAATGTATTGTAGAGTTGAAAAAGGTGCAGAAGAGAGCAACAAAAATGATCTAAGGCTGGAGCAGATCTCTTACAAGGAAACCTGGGATAGCGCATCTCATAAAAAAGGCAAGTATGGGGAAAATGACTGAAGTATACAAAATTATGCATAGTGTGGAGAAAGCAGCTAGGAGGCCATCTCTTTCCTAGTATTACATGTCAGAGTTATCCCATGAACCTGTAAGTTGGGAGAAGCACATAGTTGTATTGTGGAATTTGTTATTACAGGATGATGTAATGATGGTCACAAATATGGGTGCCTTTAAAAGGATATTAGGCAAATTTATGGGGAATGTGGTCACTCATTATGACAGCTGCATACTTCCTCCAATATTAGAGCCAGAACACCTTTGCAAAACAGCTTCTGGGACACACAACTGGGAGGGCACTTTTCCACCCATCTCCTACTTGTGGTTTCCTGCAGGCATCTATTTTGGCCACGGAAGGAGTAAAATGCTAACCTAAATCGTTTCTTCTCTCTATATCTCCTGTAAAATCTCCTGCAAGAAATTACGTAATCCTCAACTTCCTTTGTGGTTTATCCTTACAACAACAACACTATTACAGTTAAGTTAGGCTCAGAGCCCATGACTGGTGCAGTCACCCACTGAACTTCATGACCAAGTAGAAAGTGGAACCCAGATCTCCTGTCACTTCCTAGTACTCTAACCACTGCATCCTACTCTCACCACTTTACACTGATTACAAATTTACAAATTTCCAGAAATATTTCAGCAAGCCCCACTTGCTATTGGATTTTACGGGTGAGAAACAGAATCCACCATGATGATAATGTACAATATTTGGGGAGATAAAGATGCTTTCATCACAATCCTATCTTAGCTGTAAATCTTGGGTTTCTCTAAGGAAATTATTTCACCCAGCTGCCCTGTTTTATTCTTTCGGGGGGAATAGTGAACACAAAGTACAATGTATGGATTCATTAGCAAACTATCAGTCAAGGCTTATATATTCTTAGATCAGTAACACAAAAGGGTTTTGAATATCAGAGTTGCAAGTGCGACTTTGTCTGGATGAAGGTTTAAAAGGGATCAAAAGTTCACTTACACACATAAAGCCAAACCAGACAAGCCAGGAAAGTGTTGCCTTAAGCATGTGTTTGCCTCTCATAAGTGAAGGTGGATTCTACATCTTATCGCCCAAAAGGAACCCATAGGGGAAAATGAAATCCAAGCACAAGCCCACCTTAACTAGCTGTTTAAGCAGATTTGCCTCCCGTGCTAGAAATAAGATGAGGAGGGAGAAGCTGTTAAGTGATGCACCTTGGGGATATAAGCAGGGTACTTTCCTTTCTTGCATCGTGCTTTATATATAAGAAACAGACTCAAGCTACCCCACTCTGCTTTAGGTAGGGTGGTGATAATGAAGGTGACCTTATGAAGCCCACCAAACTTTCTAAGCTTTATTGAATACTGGAAGATACTGAATACATTGTAAGATAAAACTCCCAGGCTCTCAGTCTAATAAAAACTATACAAATGGAAGAGGGGGAAAAAGAAAGGAAACATCAGAGCGGCAGTGCCTTCCCTGGCTGATGGATGGGATGAACTAAATTCATCCATACATGCGATTGTTTAATTCCATGTTGAAATTCAGCTTGATTTCAAAGTCCGTAAAGAAACTAGAACTGGTTCATTTAGTTAACATTCTCTGTGGTCTTTCTTTTGTTTATGTTCATGCTTGTTTTAATTTAAATTAAAAAACCCTTTAAACCATCAGCTTTTTAAAAAGAAAGCCCAAAACCTATATGTTTCTATGCAACATTCCTTATGTGTCTGAGTTCAACCTACGTTTGTCAAGAAAGGATGCAATTATGTAAAATCCTGTACAGCATAAATGGGAAACCTGTGGCCTTCTGGATGTTATTGGACTACAACTTCCATCATTCTTTACCATTGTCCATGCTTGCTTGGACTGATGCAAACTGGAGACCAACTGATTCCCCATGCATATTGTGATGGATAATTCTTATATGGATTTGTTCCTTTCTGCTCCTGCTCCTCTGAAGAGTTAAAGTGTACTCAAGACTAGAATGAGATGCTCACATACAAGAACTCTTAAAAGGGTGGGAAGTAGCGAGCAACTCATCTGCAAGTGTCAGCAGGAGATACTGCTTTAATTAACTGCTGCCTCGTTTTTGATGGAAAGGCAATTTATTAAAAAGTTGGTCCATTAGACTTGAACAGTTCTAATTCCTATTTTAAGTAAGCACTTGTAAAGTATGTGGAAACTCATAAAAAGACAGGTTTAAAAAACAAGGATTGGTTACAAAGATCTGGCGAAACAAGAACTACCAGCTTTCACCATCATTTGCAAATGCAGATTTAATTTTACAAAGCCAGTTCAAGTGCTAATTCCTATTTATTAGGACTACTTTGGCTAAAGAGAAAGACTACTTGTTTTAAACCTTCCAGTACAACCAGATGCATCTGCTCTTACAAAATATAAGATCTGAAGGGGCCTGGGAGGCAGGGAGGTTTGTGTTTGCTTTGACTTACAAGTTCTAAACCTCTAGGTAAAAAGATGTTCATTCAGTTCACTCAGAACTACACAAGAGACAATTCTTTGTGGCCGGATGGGCTCCGCTGTATCAAATACTGCTGCAACCCAAACTTGCCTTTGCAGGAATCCATGGTTGACCCCTGAAACATGGGTGTATAGATGTAAGGCTTGTC